TTCTTTCTTTCTTTCTTTCTTTCTTTCTTTCTTTCTTTCTTTCTTTCTTTCTTTCTTTCTTTCTTTCTTTCTTTCTTTCTTTCTTTCTTTTTTAGACAAAATATCAATGTAACCGAGACTGGTCTCAAATTCACTATGTAGCCAAGGATGGCCTTGAACTCCCAACCTTCCTGCCTCTACTTCTGGAGTGTGCCACCACACCCAGTTGTGTGTGCTAGGGTTTCTTGCACACTAGGCAGTCACTCTACCAACTGAGATACACCCCGAGTCGTCCCCCCCGCCCCCACCCCAAGAGTCTTTATGCCAAGCCATTTTGAAGAGTATACAGTGTAACTGGAGAGGCAGGGAACACCTTAAATGTCCATCACTTAGAAACCCGTTGAATACACTACTGCACATTCTCCTGTCCCTAACACAGGAGCTACTTTTCCCCGGTCCCTGCTTTGCTCCACCAGACACAGAACTGGAAGGGGCAGGGACGGAAGTGACAGTGAGGCCCACTGAGCCACAGTCTCTGGAACATTACCACAGCCTCCACTGGCCGGAGCCAGTGTGCCGTTTTCCTGTAGAGCTGCTCTTCCGTGCCCTCTGCCGTCATTTCTCATCATACGAGCGCTGTAATAAATTCGGAACTACGAGATGAGTCAAAGGAGGTGGGACTCATCGCCCTGGCGCTCACCAGCGGCGTGTGCCCAAAATTTTATACCTCTGGGCTAATTTCTTAGCCGTAAGAACATCTTTTCTGTCTAATCCAGAAAGCGAGTACTTAACGTGCCTGTATTGCTGGATCATAGGTTAAAACGACGTAAACTTGTGAAGCCACCCGAAGTCCCTAAAAGCCACATGCAATAGGAGCTATTAATCCTATCAATCAACCTAACTCCTACCTGTCGGACGTAGGGATGCTGTGCACCCATGTTGTTCGTGATTATGGATAAAACAACTTGAGAAGTCTTTACCTTTCACTTCAAACAATCTGTGTCAAAAATCAGGTCATTATAGAAAAACTGGAAAGCAATGACAAGGGACATTCTGTGCTGCCTCCTCCTCCTCCTCCTCCTCCTTCTCCTCTTCTTCCCTGTCATCTTTTTCATGTTTAAAAAGTATCTCTTGATGAGAGAACTCTGCTGTAGGTACGCACATTCTTCCAGCTGGGTTCTGAGTGAGGTTTTACCCACACATCATTGACAACTTCTTAACACAAACTTCACTTTTCACGGTGCTGCTATTGCTATCATTGACTTTTTCTTTGGCCACCAGCTACCTCCTTCAGTAACCCCTCATGGAACCAAATTATTCTAGTGCACACTGATATCTCTTTCACAACTATATTGTTAAAAGTTATAGGTGTAATAATTATCTGTATGGACAGTCACACTTGACATAGGAAAGCACGGGTGATTTGAAAGATGAAGGACCCAAAGAGGTTGATGGGTTGAATTGCCATAACGATCACATTCTACAGAAAGGACCATTGTAGAATGAACGAGATGGTTTGGTCTCTTCCTCTTCTGCTCTTTAAGATGGTCCAACTCACATCCTCTAGCAGGAATCTCTCCAAATGATGACAGTGGCTGGTGTCAATCCAAGGATACAATGGCACCCAGCTTTTCTTTTCCCTTTGACAGAGGCAATGGGAGGTGAGATGGGGTGGGCAGGCAGGTGGGGTGGGGGTGGATGTTACAAAGGAAACGGGGAGTGCTGTTTGAGTCAATCTACAGATAACGCCTTAGATGATGCACCATTGCTGAGTTCCTATCGATTTACGATGCTCAGAAAATCTCCACAAAGCCCTGGTATACCTGCCTCTCTGTGCTCTTCCCCCAAACCGCCTCTTTCCACAGTTGGATAAGGAATAATTACAGCTCATATGAAAGTAATTCTGAAATAAGTAAAATGAGGAAAACAAGAGTTTTCTCTTTCAACATCAACAAAAGGACTTGCTGTGACATCCTTTTTAAGTGTATGGGAGGAAGGGTTTCCTATGATATAGAAAGTGTATGGGATGAAGGGTTTCCTGTGATATAGAAAGTGTATGGGACATAGGGCTTCCTGTGATATAGAAAGTGTATGGGATGAAGGGATGAAGGGCTTTATGTGATATAGAAAGTATATGGGATATAGGACTTCCTATGATATAGTAAGTGTATGGGATATAGGGCTTCCTGTGATATAGTAAGTGTATGGGATGTAGAGTTGGACCTGGATGAGGTCACAATGCCAATTTTAAAACTGCTGATGACCCATGCAAGTGTTTGTCAGAAAGGTCCATGGTGGTGCTGTGGACTGCTTCCAGTTCACTAATTGCGGGACGATTTCATAGGATTATACTGTTAAGTGACTTAAAGAAGCTTTAATGAGTGAGTACTTTGTACCACCAACTAAGTCGGTATATTTTAAGTGCTGGGGAAAATCCATTAGTAAGCTAAGCGTTATATGCCTTTGGAAAAATTAAAGTTTAGTTCCAAATATATTAATTTTTTTTTTTTTTTTTGGTTTTTTCGAGACAGGGTTTCTCTGTGTAGCTTTGCGCCTTTCCTGGAACTCACTTGGTAGACCAGGCTAGCCTCGAACTCACAGAGATCCGCCTGCCTCTGCCTCCCGAGTGCTGGGATTAAAGGCGTGCGCCACCACCGCCCGGCTCCCAAATATATTAATTTTTAATTAAATTCCAGAAAGACAAAACTTTAAGACAAGGAAGCAGTACTGTAAGATTGAAAGAAAAGAAGCGCATTTTTACAAGTTTCAAAGCATTTTGGAATCTGAGCAGCTTTGAACAGTACAGAGAAGAATTTAGTTTAAACTTAAAAGCATTTACAATAAAAATTATGCTGACGTGCATAATTAACTACAAACTAGCATAAATATCAAAATGTATAATATGGATATCACAACTCTTTCAAAACAACATCTCTTTACTTCAGTTACATGTAAGCGTGTTATCAGAAAACCGGATTTAACGTCCAACTTCATATACAAGTTTTAAAGGAAATGAGCTCCCTCTGTACCTGCAGAAAAAAGGTCACAGGTCAAGTTGGCATAGGACTGCTTGAAGGAACGATCATGGTAGTCAAAGGTCATCCACACTGCAGCAGGATCTCCTTTATTACTGACTAATACTCCAACATTTACATCTATATTTTGTTCATCCACTCCTCCATCAACATCAAAACTGTCACCCGCACTTTCCTGCTATCATGAACAAGGTTGGCTAGAATCATGGGCACACAGGCACTTCTTTCATGTCTTGCTTTTAGGGCTTTTGTGTACATATCCAGAAGTAGGACTGCTGGACCATCTACTTGTCAGTGTTTTAAGGAACGGCTTTGCTGTGTAAAAGCGGCTGGTTTTTAAGGGAGGACTTAATGACGTTGCTACAAATTGGAGTTTGTACGTGTGAGATTTCTAGTGTCACTTCCTAGAGAGACACTGATCAGATGCCAACTAGGAAATACTAAATGCATCGAGGCAAGGAGAGGGTGTGTGGCACCAATGTGCATGCATCACGGCCAGCAAAACCAGTGTGGGGGGTAAGTACAGAGACAGGCTCCATAGACAACAGCTGTGAAGGAAATCCCCATCTCTAAAGCACTTTCCAGGCAATGGCTTCAGAGAAAAATACAACCGAATTCCTTGACTAAGGGAAAAATCAGCATAACCGTCACATTTGGTACAAGCTGGGATGCCATCGGCCACGTGTACACCCCAGGCTGGCAAAGCACTTCCTCTGCAGTGGAGCGAATGGGAGATGAGCGGATGCTCGATTCAGAGAGAGAAAAAGATGCATCTGAGACTTCCAGTCACAGCCAGAATGCGAGGGAAAAGAAACTAAAACTATTTGGGAGTTCAAATGCCCAAAATGGATGCAAATGGATGCAGTTATCATGGCGTCCATAGAAAGCAACAAGACATATAAGATCATTTCCTTCAGAACAGTTCATTATCAAGTGTTTCAAGTATATAAAAAGTCTCCCTCACATGTCTACCACCTAAACTTATGTTACATTAGAGATTAGTTGATGGCTTCTCACCCCTCAGTTTAATTCCTCTCCTCTTCCCCAAAGAGGTAATTATTCTGAATGTTGTTTGTTATTCTAAGCTTCTATCCATTCAGAATGTAAATGTGTATTACTGCATTGTCATGCACATCATTACCTTCTGTATAGCTGGTATGATGCCATAAACATATAATACGATTTCCCATATGACTATGGAGTTTATTATGTAAATGTGTAACACTCTAGTAGAGCCACCTTAAGTGCTCTAGAATATTCCATTAAATGACTGCCAAAAGGTATTTTAGTCATTCTCCTACTAGATATTTACTATTTCTTCTGAGGAGAAGGAAAATTGCCTACCATGTTACATAAACTTTCTTGAAGGTATTTCCTTACCCATGGGAGCCAGGTTTCCTACAATACATATCCCCGGTCAAAATTGTCCCATGTCAGTATGTTTAACATTATTAGACATTGCCAAGCTGCTCTTTTAAAAGTTGTGCCAATATACCTGGCTGCTAGGTGTATGTGCATGTCCTACTTATCACAGCCCTGCCGTCTGGATTATAAGCAGGGTTTTTTTTTTTTTTTTGGATTTCAGATTTGCTTTTGGTTCAGGGCTGCAGAGGCAGGGCCTCTACCACCGATCCAGGCCCCAGGAATCTATCAGAGCTTTTTACTTCCAACCATCTGGGGCTACATGGGGAATGTCCCTGGAAGAAGAGAAGGAGAAGAAAGACACCGAGCATAGGAGTTTTGTCTTAAAAGAATTCCTAGTGATGAAAGAGACGGGTGTTGGGATTCAGAGAAACAATAGCCCAGAGTGGTATTGCCATGCTGAGCGCTCTGAAGTAAAAGGCATCTCAGAAGCAAGATCTTTCTGACCTTCTCCTGTCCATGGTCTGTCTGTCTGTCTGCCCCTCCCTCCCTCCCTGCCCCCCTCCCTCCCTCCTCCTTCTTCTCTCTCTCTCTCTCTGTCTCTCTCTCTCTGTCTCTCTCTCTGTCTCTCTCTCTCTCTCTGTCTCTCTCTCTCTGTCTCTCTCTGTCTCTCTCTGTCTCGTATCCTTATGTATTTAAAGGCCAGATCCTCTAGCAGATTAATGAGCAGGCAGAAAGACTACAATTGGGACCATATGCCACATTCAGAGCCCAGGTGAACTATACCCAGGTTAGTGTCTGTTCGTGGGCCTATTTATCTCCCCTTAAAATCGGTTTTATTCATGCCCTGGGATGTAGCTCAGTGGTAGTCACTGATGTCATGACTTGAAGTCACTGGACTGCCACCAACACCCTACTCAGGGCTGGGGAAGTGCCTCGGAGGCTAAAGGGCTTGGCTTGCAAGTGGGAGGGCCTACGGTCAGGTCCCCACAAACCTACATAAATGCCAGGTGGGCGCAGCAGCCCCCCCCCCCCCGAAATTTCCGTCTCGAACAAGCAAGGCCAATGATACCAGTCAACGCTGGGTTTCCCTGAGACACCCTACCTCAGTGAACAAGGTATCCCTCCACCTTGGGCTTTCATATGCACGCTGCATCTATGTGCAAGCACCTACACACATGTGCACAATGCAAAGACATGCATACACTCAATCATATCTCTCTCTCTCTCTCTCTCTCTCTCTCTCTCTCTCTCTCTCTCTCTCTCTCTCTCAGGAAAAAAAAAGGAAAGCACTTAGTTTCAACTCGTGCCCTCTTTGATTTTAAACTCGGTGACCCTGAGTGCTTGCACGTCGGAGGATGAGTGTGCCCCTCCCTGTAATCTGTTGTCTGTTTCTTTTGGAAGACTCAGTTATCCAACAGTGGGAGGATGGGGAGGAACTTCCTTTTGAGAGCATGCATCGGCACCACAGCTAGTTAGTTAGTGGAGTCCAGACATCTGCTGCCACTCACCGCATTATCCCTGATCATTTTATTTTTTTATTAATTCATTTATTTATTTTTCTATTATCAGCTTAATACAGTATAAATTCTTATCCTAATAGTGAAATGTTTGATTGAGCCTTGCCCAGTAATTGAGTAAAACCAAAACTTATTATAAGCCACAGTCATCCTAGGGTCCCCCCTGCTATGGAGCCTCCATGGTTCTGTGGGTTGCAGTCTGATTGTTCTTTGCTTTATATCTAGAATCCACTTATGAGTGAGTACATACCATGTTTGTCCTTCTGGGTTTGGGTTATCTCACTCAGGATGATATTTTAAAGGCACGAAATAAATCAGAAGATAATAGTTAGTAGCATCCCATGTGTTCACGGAAACATAAATCTCAGTAGAGAATCTTGTCCCTAAGTACTAGTAGGTACTTGAAGTTCTCATGATATTTAAAGAAAATTGTGAAAATGTTACAATCCCAAAGAAAGAGTCAACTTCCCTTTCTTAAAGTGAAAAGATGTTTTAAAAATAGTTTATTTCTCATGGGTATATTAACCACAGTTAAGGATAGGCCCCATGTCCATCACTAGAGAGCACAAAATGAACTCAATGGTATTTTTGTAGACGTTCTGTCTCATATGGCTTCTTTTAGGCTCACTGGACTTTTTCTTGTATATTATGGTTTCTGATTTTGTGCTTTTATGGGTTTGTTTTTTGTGTGCTTGTTCTGTGTTTTGTGTGTGTGTGTGTGTGTGTGTGTGTGTGTGTGTGTGTTTCTAGTTTGTTTATTTTGTTTGCCTGATTGTTTTCTAAAGGAAGAGAAGAAGAAAGGGCATGGAGTTGGGTGGGTGGGGAGGATGAGTTGGGGGAAGAGGAAACTGATCAGGATATACGTTATGAAAAATTATTTTCAATAAAAATATAAACAGCTCTAAATGTTACCACAAATAAATGACATGATGAGATTCTAAATATTCTTTCAAGCCATTCAGCCATAGATTTTTAAAGAATTTTTAGTTTCTTTTCATTAGTTTTTCAAGGAGCCTACATTTTTAAGTTGTTTTTCTTTTTCTATGACTTCTTTTTGAGAATTCATGGCAAATAGAAATTGCTGCCTCGCACAGTAGAGCTGACCTTATTGGCAGAGGAGTGGGTGAGCCGGCCCTGAGGATGTGAGAATAGAGTCGCTGGCCACACCCCCATTGCCTGCCATGTGGTGGTGAGGGTGAGGGAAAGATGCCCTCCCCCCTTCTTGCCCCTGCCACCCGCGGCAGGCAGGCGAGGGAGCTGAGCCTCCCCCATACCAGCTGCAGCACTTGGGAAAGCGAGCCCTGTACCTCGCCTGAGAAGCACAGTGGGGCTGACCCTGTGGATGGGGTGCGGGTGAACCAGCCCTGAGAACATGAGCTTGGAAGAGCCGGCTCTGCCCCTCAGCTGCCATATGATAATGTGGGCGGGATACACACACACACACACACACACACACACACACAC